TCAATTGGACCGAAAAATGAAGTAGCTGGAGCATATAACGAAGCAGCTCATCGCAGCTTGCGCTAAGGAAGCCGATTGATTTCCGCCGTTCGTATCTACCGGCGCCCCCGAAATCCATCCATCAATAAGAGGCAAGATTTGCCACCAAAGCAAAACACCCTTTAGGTTATGAAAATATTAGCAAGGCAAAAAAATCTCAGACCGTGGCGGAATGGGCAGACTGAGTAGGAAACAGTTTGCGATGAGACGAACTTACTATTCTGAAGCTGACTGGGATAAACCATCGGAGCGTGGTTCCAGTACATGAACGTTGAACAAATGCTCCAGGTATAATGCGTCCAGTGGAGACGCAGAGAGGAAACTCGTGCAGGCGTAATTTTCTTTCTCAGATAGTTGAGACGAATGACTGCAACCCACCCAGAGCAAAACAATGTGTTTCGAACAGTTTCAAAGCCCGCTCTGCGCTGCATTTGCAACGAACATTATTGTATCACTCACACGAGTGGCACTTAACTTGTGACGTGCAACTATTCAAGAGTTAACGCTAATGTGAAGAGGGTTCAAATAATTCCACTACAACACTACTGATACCAACGTCAAAACGCCAACAACGAAGCGCTCAAACGCTACTGCTTTAATAAATATACACACTCTATGTCAGCTCTGCTTTTCACTACCGGAGCTTGGTTAAGCAAAGATTCACAATAGGCTGCCTTTAGAAAGTCCATTACTAATAACACAAAATGCTGAAAGAGACAGGCCACTGGTTATTATGATTTGTTGGATGATGCGTGCATTCAATTTGCACAAAGAAAGTCAGTTCAAGATATGAAGTATTTAGCATTGAAGAGCGTAAGCTTTAAATGTCCAAACGAAATGATATGGCAGTTAGTTGCATTAATAATGTCAATTATAAAATATATGTCAGGTTCTTACTATTCAACAGTGACTACATTATTCATCGGTTTGATGAACTCACGGAGTCTAAATGAGCACGCATGTAACCACCATTGATATAAAAGATGTATGAACGGTCACCGTAATTTGTTTATGCTTAAGGCGTCCCAAACTGATAGAAACATAAGTAGGAATAATTTATGCAGTGGTTGAACTAATCTCCAATAGACTTAACATTGATGTTCTGACATACGGCTACTAAACATGATTTAAGTCATATACGGGAGAGTCTAAGTTATCATTATCAAATCAAACAGGGAGCTTCTCATGCACTGAAAACACCCATGTGATGAATGTTTATACGGCTACCCCTTTCCATTTTAATTGGCTAATACCAAGATTACCTACTGCCAACCAAATCAGATGTTTGGCATTAAGTTCGAGACCAACATGACAACAAGGAGGGCAACATCTGGAACAGTTTTCCTTGGGAAGAGGAACGACAGACCTCGGACACAACACTCGCCTTGCAACGTGTACATAACATTGATCGGGGTAATTGGCCACTTAAGCAGAAACTTCAATTGTCTCCTCACCCTCCGTCACCGTGGCAACGCTGCAAGGAATTTTCATGTCGGAAGGCTATGTACTAGGAACGTCGATGATGGATAACAGTGTACAAATGGATTGGCAATGTGGCAGACTTTCAATGATTTTATGACATTTGATATGGATTATTTAACTGAGGTCATTTTTGCGTATAAGGCTGCAGTGTTTTATACCGACTGACATGCTCACGGAAAAAGGAAGTGCATTCTTTTGGAAAATATGGATATTTATACTCACTGTTTAACAATCGCAGATCCATGGCATATAAAGATATAATGATTGAAAATGACGCGAAATCTCCTTGGACGTTGGAATGTAAACTAATAAAGCTTGTTATGAAAGTTTAAAAAGAACATCAGAAATTAGGTTTGAGTTATTCAACGATTTAAGGATGTTATTTTCTTGTGAATAAGAAACACAACGCCACCTGTATTACTTAAATAATCATTGCATGCAAGCGTGCTTTTGCAGATCTCGGATGAACGAGAAACCGCACTATATTTTTGTCAACTACAACCACTAAGTTTCCCCCATATAAACTGAACGTTGAGTTTGGCACTTCATGAACCCCCTGCATTGATGGGTATCTGAAACCCCCTCGTTGTCGGATTAAAGCAGGATTGATTGCAAATGTGTTCTGAGTGTCCGGCCCCCCTGACGCCAAGCACTGTTTTTTCTCTTCATGGTGCATGACAAGACGAAATTGATGAAATCTCCAGCCACTCTAGCATCCCAAGTTAAGTGTCACTGCTACGCCCCTAAGGAGGAATCTGACACCACTTTCGTCTCCACACAAACATGTGTATGATATTTGGACTTGGGATGTTAAAGAGGTGCCTGCGCCAAGCATCATGCTTGTAACACCTTCCGCTCAGTCGAAGGTTTTGAGTTCATATTTAGGACAACTTAAAAAGTGGGGTACTATAAACACTACAGTTTCAGAGGAATTAAATCAACACCATGCACCCTGTGTCCGTTTTATATCCACAAAAGCTTTTGTTCTGGTCTGATTACCATTTCATCTTTGATCTGGATCAGCTCTGTCCCTCATTTAATTAGATTCAGGGAGTGTAAGACGTGCTTGATATGAAGTTCCTGTTATCACTCTGACTAATTAACCGATGGATTACTTTAGTTGACATGATCATATTGTAATATTGAGTTTAAGAAATCAGCGCAATCCATTTTGTGGTGCTGGAAGTAAAGTGGCTTTTATTAAGCAACAGCTTATATTGAACGATTTCTAATAACACAAAACAGCCAACAGCCCTAAGAATTGCTACAGAAGGCAAAGTCTGAAGTCTACTGGGTGAATCTGCAAGTGCAATTACTCCGCTAACTGGCGTTTTTATGTTCGTGAGAAAACGAGATGGTTCACTGGCTGAACGATATCGGTCTCAGAAGCACACCTGGCTAGCCGTAACGGGCGTACAATGACCGCTTGGCCACCCACAGTAAACTTTATTTTCATTCCATTACCCATATCAACCAGACAAGTGAGCACATCTTCCGTGGAGACGACAAATTATAGCATTCTTTATTTTATAACTACTTACGGTTGTCCACCGTAAACCCAAATTTCGTTCATTATATGTCAGCTTCACAGCACGGTGTTGCGGTCGGTAAGGTACCAAAACACAAATCCCATTACATACCGACATAAAAAGTCCCCTGGCAACTGATGTTTGTATAACGTCAAAACGTGTCATAAAGCATGTATGCGACACAGTGTTCTTTAACACCTCGGGTCATAACACCGCACATGTTTACTGAGTCAATATACAAAACGGCAACCCTAATTTTTTTGAAGATCACGACCTTTTGAGGTAGCAACTTGCAATGTTCCCGTAAATGGTAGAAAATGTGCCACTATACTGATTCCACTCCCGTTCGGACGTGACCGTGTAGCCTATAATCCAGAATCTGACCTTCCTACACACCGTTATCGTTTTCACAAAGAGACCGAGATTTCGACAAGATTTTTTCCCATGTCGGTTTTAATTGAATATCTTTGTTACATTCACAGATGCGCGCGCGAACATGCACGCCCCTTTCCTCTGATGGAAAAAATACATTGAGCAGAAGGGTGTAAGTGTGAATTTTCGTTTTCACGAAGCGAAACACACACCTCCTAATTAATTTTGGCTAATTAATCACTCTGTTCATTCTTTCTACAGGTTTCACGTAAAAGAATAATTTTAGGGCTTCCTTACTGTATGCATAAAGTTTTTGCGATTATACTTTATGACCACGCTTTCGAGTCAGATTACACGTCAATAGAAGTCTAAAATCCATTCTAAGATTACTAACCAATAAATGTAGGCACTGAGGAAATTATATCTGCAAACATGGGAAGTTACATGGTTTTTTTGACGAAATCGGCTCGCTGTGCACTGAGCTCGAAATAGAAGCTATATTACAGTTTGGACTTTACCATTATGCTTCGAAGGTAATAGTGAGATCGCAACATTTTCGCGTTAAGTTAATCCCTTTTCGCAGATAAAACTTTGAACTAATCCGATAACTCTTTTACTTTTTACCTTACATTTATACTCCTCGTTTCTGTTTTCAATGCGTTTTGTGGATTCCCTCCATTGTGCTTTTGCTGTTGTTGTATTACCCGTTTATAATGAGTCCTACAACATTTGACACACCACACAAAAAATATCGGTGTCTATTAACGGATATGATATTTAAAACGAAATGAATGTTTAAATGATGGTCGGTCGACCATCATGGAAAAGAAAACAAAAAATCTGTTTTCTCAAAAACGACAGCGTCCTGGGCAGAGACCGAGGCTTTTACATGTATTTACTTTCCTCCATGCAAGAATTTCGTGGATTATTCGGCAGTCCCATTTTCGTAATTTCACCAATGGTGCAACCTACATTAATGCCGAAGCATCCAACATTTTCACCCTTACTGGCAGACATGACGATCAACAAAAACACAGAGATTTACAAAAATCATGGCAACTGAAAGACTTCAGTTGTCACAAAGGGAATTCCTCAGTCTTTTTGTAGCATAAGAGACAGTATTCATGACGATATTGTTTCCAAAGTGGAAATCCCAAAGAGTTAATGCTGGCAGATGCAAGATCTCAATTTAATGTGACTTTAAATGATGCCATGCAACCAAAGACACGTAGTTTATGAATGAAAAAGTTTAACGTCAGTAGAAAATTGTAAGACACGCGGTCTGTTTCAGAGGGAGTAGCGGTACTTTTTACACCATACAGCTCGGTGACCTTGGCTCAAATCTCATTTTAAGTACAAGTGCGCTTTTGATGGGGCTAGATTCATGTATTGGAAGTCCCGCTAAATATTACACAAACATGTCATGCAAGTTAAATAAATGAGACTGCCACAAACGCTTTATTAGTTCTTGAATTAAGGGATAATATGAGAAAGTACTCATTTGCCTTTTCATTTCAAAACATATCAAAATAAAGGTAAGTTCTTCATACAACGAAGTTAATAAGAAAAGGTACTCACGAATGAAATCATGGGGAGGTTCCACGCTGTTGCTATACGGGCTTCAGTGGCACATGTTTGGTCCGGCCCGAAGAATGCCGCCACACCTTCCAACCACTGAGAAGTGAGCAGTCTGATGCTACCCAACTCATCACCGGTGGTATCATACTGATGCGACAGGACCAACCGATGATTTGGCAGCAAGTCCTCCCTATTATTGACGTCATTTATCGCCAGTAGAGCAGCCCCGCTCACCACGAGACCCTCTCGGAACGTGGACGGGTTATCATTTGATGGCTTGGCAGATGTTAGTAATCCGACGCGTACTTCTTGGAGATCGCTGGATGAGCCGGTCTCTTGAGTGGGACCCACGCCCAATGTTTCGACTGTAACGATCCACAGAACTGTCAGGGAGACAATCCACCGTGTCCCGGCCATTATCAAGGCCGATCTGCCGGCCGTACCGCCAGCAGCCAGATCGGCGGAAGTATCGGCCCCCTGACAAAAACGGCTCGTCGCGGTGGATCTTGCCTTGCTTGTTAGGGGAGACAGTTCTTTCCTGTGCCAAGATGTTGTTTTCAGTCAATTCTTTGCAGCTACGTAGGAAACTCATGAATAGTCCATTGTCACGGTCGAGATAATAGCTGAAAGTTCATCCTACTAACCAGCGGAATCCAATGCCGTTGACTGTTCGAAACACACTTCCGTGCGCGATCATATCACCTCAGAAGTTTCCTTTGATTAACCCCTTCACCATGTCGCTTATCAACCTGTGGAAAGGTGGGGCGAAAATAGTTAAGTTGATTTCCCTTGGCACACAGAGGCTGATGCCGGGCGTTTCTTGTGAAATCACAGACAACAGTACTGATCAAATCACATGTGGTCGAGAAGACTCGGCCCGAATCTGACAAGGTGCGCTAATTCACTGCTTATTTATGAAAACCGGGCTGTCCATACCCAACCGCACAAAATAAGCATACGGGAACAATACGGCGGCTCTGGACACAAGGCGGCGCTTTCAACGTGACCGCACAATGTGCAGTGCGCACGGTCACAGCAGAGATGTGGGCTGTTCCATCCAAACGGTACAGGGGAGTGTCCTCTTGATACGGCATTAAATGACAGGCTCTTGAAAACTATATTAAACGCGGGCTGCATGGCGGAGAAAAGACTGGTAGTGCTCTCTGGATACTGCAGAGGTGACTAGTTTGGAGTGACGTATTATGGCTGATAACCAAACATCAATTCTGAAATGGCTGCTTTTTCAATCCAAAGGGAAAAAAATTAAAATGAAGTTTCACTGTTGCGACGAACCGTAACACTAAGTACCGGCTAGTTACGTTCGCGATTTAAACAGCATTATCAGAAGACAAAGTCAGCAAATGAACGATAGGCATCCCCCTATAACAGCACACATTTAATGGAACCCCTGTCATAGGAAAAACAACAGCAGATTGATTAACTTAATACACAATGCAAATATTCAATTATCAAAAGGCCATTCTGGAAAGGAAATTTTTACCCGGCCTGTGTCTGAGGGTTGCGAGCCCCAAAACAGCACAGTACAAATCCTGTTGGAGGATTATTATGCGTTTGGTTGGGGACAAAAAAGGCATAAAAATTCCACAACGCGACGAATACAGCGAACCCCCACGCCCCCCCCCAAAAAATTCGAAACCCGCAGCAAAAAAAAATCTAGAATCGCCTTCGTTGCTTTGGTAAAAGCTCGAAACCTGGACAAGTCAGCAAATGAGCTTACCGTCCGTGACTGTATCTTACTCTTGGGGGTAATCCTCCACATTTTGTTTTGATGATTATTTTTCACGGTGGCCTTCACATTTTGACTACCACAAGAAAAATCAGTGCAAAAGGATTCATGCTCTTCTGAACTAATAAGGCGCAAAATTAGGCGTTCAAGGGCCAATACCTTTGGCTCAATCCCCCACACCCATCCTGCTGCCCAAATTGTTCACCTAATCAGTCCACCACCCGGTAATATAGTACGTCGCCACTCAAAGCGCTACAAAAGCACCAGGCATGGCGTCCTCCGTTCCCATATACCGCTAATGACTTCGCGGGCGAGAGAGTGGTTGAATAGGGCGAGCAAATTGGTCGGAACGTGCTCATTCAGCCAGTGTTGGCAATCAGCACGCGCGTTGCGAGCAAAGACGCACTGAAGGGTCCCTCTCAATGTACGTCAGGTCGGTGCCGCCGCAGCGAGGCACCGACAATCAATTCACAACTTGCCGCTTTCATTAATTTTATTACGGCGACAAGCGTCGCAACTTCCTGATTAAGGAACCAACGAAGGAAAGTATAGCCCCAAAATACACACAGTTGCCAACAGATAACCCTACATTGCAAACCATGTTTCAATACCATCAGGTACATTAATCTGTTACTCTGCAGCCTGAACAGGGTTGCTCAGACAGTGTTTCTACTGTTTTATTCTTTGGAAAATTAAACAAAAGTAAAAACATATTTCAACATCAGGTCTTATAAAACTTAAGTTCAGTATGCTGGGTTCTTAGTTGCAACAAAGGTCAAGAACTACTGAAATGTTTGGATAAATGATGTCTGCTTGAATCCCCTAGATATCAAGTGAGCAACACCATGAATATTCTAAAATGCACTTTTGGAGCCTCTCGACAGTCTCTTGAATTCGCCTTCTTCGCAGTTCCATCCATCTGAGTCGCTACATTGTTTGCCTCGATTACTGAAATATTAGTTACAGTTCTTCATGGAGTAGCACAAAGCACTGTAAAATAATTCCAAAACTGTTTTCAACCAAAAGTAAATATATACATATGTAAATACAGCACAAACGGACGAACCTTGGGCTCCTGCCATTCAAGTGCACGGCTACAAAATCTTTTCACACTTTGTATTCTGATCACCTTTTTATGGCAGGTTGCTCAGAGAGAGGGTTCTTGAACAAATTTATTTTCCCAGTTATTGAACACACCTCTAGTGCAAAGTCACGGACTATTCAATGACCATCTGTCAAATGCTCGCACAGCTTAAACAAAATCCAAAGCAACGCAACGGCTTTTTTGTGTGTCTAGTTACTTCATGATTCTGTTGCCAAGTAAAGGTGTCGTCTTGTGATAAGCATTTAAAATCACCTTTGCGTAATATTTGTATTATCTTATTCAAGAATTTCTTTTCTCGGGTTCGTTACACAAGAAGTATTGGTCACGAAGAAGAAAGGCACATCGCGGGTTTTCGACGAAGTATTCACGAGGTACATTAATTTTTTTTTACTGATTTATTTCATTGGTTTTAGCAAGCAATCGCACTGATTATTTTTTTATAGTAGGCATACTCACTGTTTTTATGCCTTTGCAAATCCGACATGCAAGAGATTCTGAGACACGTGACACCGTAAAACGCAGTAAATCAGCAAGAAAGAGTCTAAAATACAACTTGGAGGCACAGATATTTTGGAAAGTGAATTGCTTTAAGGCCGTTGTGGTGGAACATGCTCATACAGTTTTTAAAGAAGTCACCTTGGGACAAGCATGAAATTTTGAAGTAAACAGGCCTTTATCCCATCCTACAGCATGCTCTTTTCCCTGAAACCACTGTTCTGGCAAGCGTATGTTTTCCACACAAAGTTGCCGTATCAGTGGACACGAAGCAAAGTGCAAGTTGATGAGGGCGTATCGGGGGATTAGAGCGAAGGATAAGCTGCAAGCAACGGCAAGACGGGAGGGAACTCATGGCGGCTTAATTCATTACGGTACCGCGGGACAGCCTATCGGGAGTTGTCACCAGGCTACGGCAGCTATGCAAGTCTCGAGCTCGAGGGTTTGTGGGCAATGCTCTCACTACTTTGGATACCAACTGGGATTTTTCTGTGTTGATAAAGGCCCTAAGCTACGGGGATTTGAATAAAAATGGCAGGACTGTTGGGACTACTGGGAGCCTCAGTCTACGTCGAAGTAAATAGTACTTCACAAGACAGGGATATCATTCTCATAAGCCACACACTACATGTGACTTTAGTGCTCACAAAACAGTCTTCAATCTACCTGCTTGAAGTACAGGTGATGGCATATCACATAATATAAACAAAAGCAGCGTAGCTATGCATGATATTGGATGGTTTAAACACAATTATCTTTCAAACCCTTCTGTGTGTTCAACGGAGGGAATAGTTAGCAACCTAAAAGTGTAAGTACATGTACATCTTGCAAAGTTTCGGCTTGACCTTCCGAAAAAAAGGGTAGCCTAATCTCAAATGAAAGAATAGCAGACTGTCAGAGGCTAGGTAAAAGTATACTTCTTGAGTTAGAGATCTTTGAGGGCACAGAACTGGCATCAAAACGTATTTGGTTCCCTTATGACATCTCTGGTGGTGTGAATAGATAGGCACATTTGACATATCAAATCAGCCCTCAAACGACCTCAAAGCATCATCCCAAATATCATCAAATAGCCGAAGAAAGGATGGCAAGGGCAATTAGGTATGCGTAAAAATGCAGCAGCACTTCGGGCCATTAGCCTGGGAGAGTGATTTGCTGTAGCCATGTAACTTCTTTGCCCAAGCAGCACACAGGCAGGGCATTATAGGCCAATGACAGCTAGGGGTACAGAGGCATTTCTGGTGTACTCGACAACTTTTGTCGGCGCATGTCTTCAAAAAATTGGTTGGAGGACGCCACATTTGTTACTGTGATCAGGTACTTAATAACTGCACCAACCAACGATATCAAGAGTCTTAGTTTGCGAGCCATCTCCGTTCTACGGTTTCAGAAAAGCAATGCGGAGGCCGGCTATAGGAACTACATTTTCACTGAGAATTTATCAACTAATTTTGGTCGATTCTTAAACGCAGTGGCTCCGAGACGTGCAACAAGCCACGTCTCTTCGATGTCGCCGAAGCCGACTAAAATCGACCGCCATTTCACGCAGGCTGCCTCCGGTTATGCTTTGAGTAACTGTTAATAAATTACAGAAAATGGGAATGGCCGGATGAAACATAAACGATTAAGTATTGCACTTGGTCTTTCAGAAAGGTTCCAAAAGTAGTCTGCGCACTTCTTAACAGGACGTTTAATCTAACTACCCCTTCCCAAAAATATAAATCACAAAGACGTCCCTTTATGCAATAAACGATTGCAGATAAGAAGACGAAAGCCAAGTTTAGGTATGAAGCGTGAGACGAAGCTTTTGTGACATTACCTTATCGTATTAAAATCGACATTTCGTGCCGATGGGAAAGTGGGCTTAATGACAAGCATCACAACACAACAATACCCAAAGGTACTTTCAATCTCCTGTACACCCTTTTCTGTAATAAAAAAAGCAAAACAGATCCACCCCTCGACAGAAATGCCTGGCAGTCATTCGTACAAGACCACATGTCAAAATAAATTTCGTTCGAAGTATATCAAACTATGACACCTGAGTTCGCATAAGGAACTGCTTGGAGTATTTTCATTATGATACCAGAACTACAGACACTTACTAGAGGGTACACGCACTTTTTAGCGGTGATGATACAATGATTCAGAGCCTTGGGCTCTGCAACATGACCATATTCCTGGATTAAAGCTGAAAATGATGCAGGAGAGAGATATCCACAGGAAACAGCGTGCTTAAAATGCGAGGATCGCTATAGCATGAGCATTCACTGGAACCAAGCCAATTACATTGGAGATACTATAGCGCACAGGCGCGACCACACGTACATAATCATGCCCTATTACAAAAAAGGCGCTGGTTTGTCTCGATTTGTATTGAATTACAAAATACAACACTGCCA